CTGTCAGGCCATGAAAAGACAGTGGAGGATACTTAAACATATTACTAAGTCAAAGAGGCCATTCTGAAAAGGCTACAAACTGTATAACATTCTGAAAAGGCAAAACTATGGAGACAATAAAAATATCAGTAGTTGCCAGAGGTTAAGCAGGAGGGAGGGACGATTAGGTGGAGAATTTTTAGGGCAGTAAACCGAAATTTTAGGGGAGTGAAACTAATTTGTATAACTATAATGGTGGACACATGTCATTATACATTTATCCAAACCCATAAAATGTACAAGAGTAAACCTTAATGTAAATCATGGTCTTTGGGTGATAACATGTCTTTGTAGGTTCATCAATCATAATAACTGCACCACTGCAGTGCTGGAGGTTAATAATGAGGCAGACTATGTGTATGTGAGGGCATGGGATATATGGGAAATCTCTGTAGTTTCCTGTTAATTTGGCTATGAAGCTAAAACTACTCTTTAAAAAATAGTTTATTTAAAAAAAATTTTTTAAAGAGAGTTCAGAGAAGTTTAAGTGTGGAGTCTGTCATGTCTACCAGATGTCCAGAAATAGGTTGCAAATAGATCATTAGATAGCTGATCGCTGGATTTTTCAATGGAGATACACACTTTAAAGTTTTGAGCTCATCATATTATTTATAATCATGCCATTGCATAAGATCACCAAAAAGTATATACAGATTAAGAGATGACTGTTAATTGGACCCTCATTCATTACAATACTAAGAGAATATATTTGTTTTTCTTCTTGAGCCAGCATATTCAGTTAAGAATACAAAACAACAGGGGCATCTGGGTGGCTCAGTTGGTTGAGCATCCAATTTCAACTCGGGTCATGATCTCACGGTCCGTGAGTTCGAGCCCTGCATCAGGCTCTGTGCTGACAGCTCAGAGCCTGGAGACTGCTTCGGATCCTGTGTCTCCTTCTCTCTCTGGCCCTCCCTGCTCATGCTCATGCTCTGTCTCTCTCTCTCTCTCAAAAATAAACATTATTAAAAAAAAAAAAAAAGAATACAGAACAACAACAAAAACCCTGTGGTGCCAAAAGCCGCTGAAAAAAACTTTAAGGAAAAATTTAAATGTCATTAATGTGTTCATAAGTTCATTGATGATGATGAAGCTGTGAAGACAAACTTTCATACGAATGAGTAGGAAACACACAGGAGTTGAAATAAAAAACAAAAAGAGAGAGAAAGTGCTTGTGAAAATATAGCCATAGAGAGTGAGGGAGAGCAAAGCTAGGTAAGAAAATGTACTAGATCAGAGTGAAGGGTAGTTATTTTATGAAGTACACAGACTTACTGCTTTTTGTACTTTTGTACTTTTTGTAAAGGAGATTAAGAGACTGAAGATCAGTGAGGGGTGGGTTTGTCAGTCAAGAGATCTGATAGACCAAGAACAAAACTCCTTAAAAGTTAAGACATGGGGAGGTCATCTTTAAGTGTCAATAATCAAGGAATTGACCCTACATTGAAGGGAGGCATCATTTCCGTTTCAACACAGGGAGCCCATAAGAGAATTGTTTTAGATTTACGAGGCAGAAGATGTTGTCAAATGATACCAAATAATGATTTTTTTATGTTTATTCATTTTAGAGACAGAGAGAGACCACAGGTGGGGGAGAGGCAGAGAGAGAGGGAGACACAGAATCCAAAGCAGGCTCCAGGCTCTGAGTTGTCAGCACAAAGCCCAACGTGGGGCTCAAACTCATGAACCCCAAGATCATGACCTGAGCCAAGTCGGACGCTTGACCAACTGAGCCACCTAGGTGCCCCCCAAATAATGATTTTCTATTCTCTGTATAAAGGTGGCAGAATATTAACATAGACAAAAGTAATCCTGGAAGAACGTTGCAAAGTTAAAAATTGATTTATTTGGCATTCTTGAGATTTTCATGAATATATTGAGCTAGGAACACCAAGGTGGACAGGCAAGTAATGGGAGGGAAAGGAGCTGCTGGAAGAGAGGACAGCTGGAGGATTCGGGTAAGGTCCTGATCAGGCTTTGGGAAGCTTTTAAGTGACAGATCATAACATCAGCTCTTTGAGTAGACTGACCTCTTTACAGGTAATTATTAGGACAATGCAGGATAGAGCAGAGGTCCTGGATTATCTGGATTCCCCAACTCAGGGATGAGAGGTTCGAAGGTAGTGGCAACAAGCCTAGTAAGTAATCAAAATAGAGTCTTTTTTAGCTGATGGCAACGGTGGAATGTTAGAGCATTGATTGCTGTGGTGTAGGGAGTTACAAGGCTCTAAATGGTAGAGAACGTGTTTGTGACCCCAGATGGTGGATCTGGCTTTCCCCTCTATCTGTGGCCAGCGTATGCTCTGTGATATAAATGGCTGCCATGTGCCACTGGGCCAACGGTCATTGGGGTAGGGGGCAAGTATGCTTCCCTAATTGTTTGGATCTAGTGGTTTCGCTGTAAGGAAAGTTCCCATTGGAACCCTAAATAGGAACCAGGTACTCTGCTACAAATAGCCTATTATGCACCCTGAAGATGCTACTGAGTCCACACAACTGAAGTGGGGTTAGTGACAAAGCAAAAGTAAGATTTCAAGGAGCCCTTAGCATCTGGATGTCACCTTAAAGATTGCAGATTTGGGGTAAAAAAACCAGTAACAAAACACCTTAGACTCCTAGCTTAGCTTTGTAATATGTGTTCTCCTTAAAACAAAAGAGAACTAGTGAGGCTTTGTTTCTGATATGGTGTCTGAGCAAATGGAACACGGAGAATGCAAAGTTTCTCTGGGCTGATAAAAATGTAGGTGGACGTTGTGCAATTAGGAAGTCACCATCAATGGTCTCAATCAAATTTCCATGCAGAGATAAGCCTTAAGTTGAATTCTAAGCTTAATGGTAATTATTGATGAGAACTTTTAAAACTGGTTTTTTAATACTCATGTATCTCAGTAATTTCAGTCAGAGAAAGATTAAGCACTCTGTATTTTCCTAATTCATTAAGAAAAATGTTTATGTTTTATTCTTGAGAGAGAGAGAAGGAGATCGATCAAGATAGAGTACAAATGGGAAGGGCAGAGAGAGAGGGAGGCACAGAATCCAAGAAGCAGGTTCCAGGCTCTGACGTGGGGCTCGAACCTGTGAACCACAAGATCATGACCTGAGCCAAAGTCGGATGCGTAACCGACTGAGCCACCCAGGTGTCCCTTTCTAATTCATTTTACAGAATTGGGCCTTAATGTCAGGTTCAAGCATAATTCAAACACTGCTGATTTCTGTCACTATGACTGGGGGAAATTATGACGTCCTAGCCTTTTCACTTCCAAAAGCATTGTTGGTTGTCACAACTGTGCCCTCCTCAGGGCAATCTTTGGTCCTACAAAAAATCCTGGCACTCAGGTCACAAATTAGGACCACAGACCTTTCTTAGAAGGCCTTATGCAGTATCTGGCTTTTTCTGATAGCAAACGTGTCATTCTAACACCAACTGGGTGTTCAATTCAATTCAATTCTGACACTTATCCCCACTCGATCCTACAGTTAAGGACTCCATCCCACAACTGTCTCTTCAGATGGTAGCCACAAATGGGGTCCCAGGTTAACCCCACTTCTGCCAGTCTGACTACAAATTTAGTGTTGCCTTGAGTCCCCACTCAGGTTTGATAATTTGCTAGAATAACTCACAGTACTCAGGAAAATGCTATATTTACTATTAGTCTACTATAAAGGACACACGTTAACAACCAGATAAAGAAGTACATAGGGTGAATTCCATAAGAACCCCAAGCACAAGAACCTCTATCCCAGTGGAATCAGTGTGCACTCCCCTCCTGTCTGGATAGTGTGAAACCTTATTGTCTAGAGGTTTTTAACAAGGTGTCATTATATAGGCATGGTTGACTAAATCATTGGCAATTGGTGGATGAACTCAATCTCTCACTCCTTCCCCTCCCCAGATGTCAAAGGTAGGGCTTAAAATTCAAACCTTCTAATGTCTGGTGACCAGCCCCAATCCTGAAGTTCCTTTATTGGCCTCCATCTTGAGTCATTTCACTATCATACAAAAGACAGTCTTATCACTCAGGAAATCCCAAGGGTTTTAGAATCTCTGTGCTAGGAAGTAGGGACAAACACCAAATATTTATTATTATGTTTGTTTTTAAACCAGACAGGAAGGCAGATAAGGTAAAAACTATAGTGAATGGGTAGTCTGTGATGTCATACTGTCCCCATGATGTCTCAAGAAAGCTGTCCACCTCTCCACAATGGCAGAGCCCAATTCTGTTTTCAACCCACCCCACACAATGAACAAAAATCTTAAGATTAAAGGTCACTTAATAAGACTTTTATTATTGCACAAACCAGAGCAAATGTGAGACACACAGGTCCCAGATCAGTGAGTTGGAGGCTGGAAAACCTATAAAAAATATTGCATGAGACCAATTAACACCATGAAGGTAAAACTTTACAAACTCAGCAGTTCCTAGACTGGATCCTTTCAGCAAAAAGTGGGTCAGGTCCCTGCCATACTAGTCAGAAGAAAGCGAATGAGAACCCCCAGGGGATCAGATTATGATTTTCACTAGAGGATGGGAGACAGAGTGCAAACATCTGTCTTCCCTAAGCATGCTGAGGTGACACGCGTGCCATAAGGACCTGCCAGGTGTCAGAGGCAAAATGACTTCTACTACCACCTGGCAGTGACATAATTCTGGCAAGGTCTGCGCAGGTCAGAATATGAAATGCAGCTCCTGAAAACTTCTCACAACTGGAATACACAGCAGATGGCTCTGCACAGATGCTCTCTAGTGTTGTTACGCTGAACAAAGAGCACGTTCGCTGAAGGTTTAAGGCCACCATCTTAAGTGGAATTTCTTTCTCATGCTCAATGAGTTTGGATCTTTGGCTGAACATTTTTGCACATTTGCTGATTCATAAAACTAACGTGGGTCGTGAAGTTTTGGTGTTAAATCAGAGCAGACTGTTTAATGAACTTTCTTGTGCTGGCTGCACTCCTGAGGCCTTTATCTAGTGTGAAGTTTATGGTGTTGAATGAGGCTGTAGTTTTGGCTAAAGGATTTTCCACATTCGTTGCACTCATAAGGCCTTTCTCCAGTGTGAATTCTCCAATGTAGAATAAGCCTGAAGCTTTGGCTAAAGGACTTCCCACATTCACTACATTCATAAGGCCTTATTCCCGTGTGAACTCTCCGATGCTGAATGCAACTGGAGCTTTGTCTAAGCCTTTCCCACATTCATTGCACTCATATGGCCTTTCTCCAGTGTGAACTCTCTGGTGTTGGATGAGGATAGAGCTTTGGCTAAAGGACTTTCCACATTCGTCACATTCATAAGGCTTTGCTCCAGTGTGAATTCTCCGATGTTGAACAAGGCCGGAGCTTTGTCTAAAATATTTGCCACATTCAGCACACTCATAAGGCCTTGCTCCGGTGTGAATTCTCTCGTGCCGAACAAGTTTGGATTTGCACCCAAAAGCTTTCCCACATTCACTACACACATAAGGCCTTTCTCCAGTGTGAGTACGGTGGTGCTGAACAAGTTTATACTTAAACCTGAAGGCCTTTCCACATTCACTGCACTCAAAAGGCTTTACTCCAGCATGGACTATCTTATGCTGAACAAACGTATGCTTGTAGCTGAAGGTTCTCCCACAGTCACTGCACTTAAACAGTCCTTCTCCAGTGTGAATTCTCTGATGCTGAACAAGGGTACGTTTACGACAGAAGGCTTTTCCACATTCGCCACATCTGTAAGAACTTTTTCCACTGCGAAAGACTTCCTCACACTTAGTACTGCTGTGTATACTCACAGCACTGGCCACACTGGCCAGGAAGTCCTTTTCAACCTCCCCACAGGTGAAAGGCTTCCCTAATGAATGGCCTCTATAGGTCTTCGCAAAGGAAGCCCTGTCCACGTCCTTGCTATAGGGCTTTTTCCCACCGTCCTCATTCTGGTGTTGGCGAAGATCTGCACTGAAACAGAATCGTTTCCCACGTGCCACACGTGTGTAGGATTTCTGCCTGGTATGTGTTCCCTGAACCTCAGCCAGGTACAAAATATCCTTCATGACAGGAACACACATCTCACAGAGATGAAGCTTCTGGGTGGATAGATTTGGCCCCGAAGTCCTGCTTGGTGGTGTTCTTCCCAGAGAAACATTCTGTCCAGAAGGGGCCTCTTCATTGTCTATCCCACAAAAATAATCTGAAAACAGAGAAATGCTAGTCAAGTACACGTGGGGACGGGTGGCAGCCACGTTACAAACATGTGCCTGACACACCCAGGAATGAATGCGTGAGGCTGTTTTCAGGATGACGGAGCTGGGAGGCAAGGTGAGGAAGGGGCTGTTTTGCAGTTACTGGACTCTAAAAGGTCACGGAAGTAGGGAGGCCTCGCAAGGCGGAACGAGGAGGAATGGGATGTAGCACAGTGGAGAGAGGCAGTCGGGGTTTCCGACTTGCTCCTCTGAGGACGACCCCCAGGAGGGCTGTTGCTCACACGTGAGTGTTGTGAAGAAGCTCTGGTCCAGGAACAGAAAAGTCAGATTGCTAGTGAGTAGCTGGTGTTCAAGGACATTTGAGGATACACGCTCACCATCCGTTACGCACGAGCCAATGCCGGGGGCCCTGCAGAGGCAGCAGTGGAAAGGAGCAGGCAGCAGACAGATGCCAGGAAGTTGGGAGCGGCTAGGGGCCAGAAGTCAGTAAAAAGGACAAACTGGCCAAGCGGCAAGAACAGGGAAGAAAAGGTGGAAATGAGGTGTGGCCAGTGGAAATGGCACCAAAACACTGGTTTGAACAGATTGCTGGTATGATGTGAACACGGTCCCGATGTCATGTCTTCCCTCAGCTGCCACTCAGCAGGGCCAGGCCCCCTCCAGCCCCTTGTCCCATGGCGGGAGTGGTATCTATTCTGTGAAGCAGCCAGAACTCTCCCCGACACCCCTAACGGAGCAACTACACAGGACTAGGATAACCAAGTCCTAAGGGAAAGGGAAAGACAGGACAGGTAAGTAGCCTGTACCAGCCCAGCTTATGACATGACAAAGCAAAGAAAGTAACTGAACGTTACAAAAAGAACCTCAGACAAAGGTCTCACAGAACAGCTTATCGTGCATGTAAGCAGTGTCCGTGTCAGTGACGGCAATTCCTGGCACGTGCAGGCGTGCAGGACTGTCAGAGGGAGCAAAACCTGAGGTAAGTAGGTACCAGGGATCTACAGAAGCCACGCAGCTAGGGAGGGGGCAAGCCAGGTGGGGTCCATTCGGCTGATGGCCAAGACTGCCTAGGATTCCCTAGAACCCTTTCCTACCAGGAAAGGCAGCGGGTACTGGGGTAGCAGGGAGAGAAGACGGCAGTACCGCCCAGTCGTAGCAACAACAGCACCTACCCAGGAGTCCTACCCAGGAAGGACGCGGTGGCCATGGTCTGGATGTAAAGACACAGCGGCCCCTCGGGAAAAGCAGAAAGGCAAAGTCACTACCCAGGTCACTGGTGGGTGTGAGGGCCTTACCCAGGGAGGTTATAAGTGCCAAGTTCTCCAGCATCACATTGTGGTACAGGCGTCTCTGAACCTCATCAAGGAGACCCCATTCCTCCCAGGAGAATACACGGCCACGTCCTCCAAAGTCACACTGTCCTGTCACGTTGGGGACAGATGAAACCACAGCCTCCTGAGGACCCACAATCCAAACCCACACATCTACCCCATGCCCATCCTCTTCCCAAGCTCCCCACCTCAGCAGAGAAACCCGGTTCTGCTGGTTCTACTCTTTCTTCATGGTTCTATTAACCAAATGCCCAGCCCTCAACAAGTGCAGGCAGGTAGGCAGACAGACACCATCTACACTCGGGAATATGCCCGAGGATTCCAGGACCGCATCTCTCCCTGCCGTGCGATTCCCTGGAGTCCTCTGTTATCATGACTCACAATAAAATTTGGGGTCACCCATCACCCCTAAGTTTCCAGTACCAGAGCCCAGGACCATCAATTCATATCCCTCTCTCCACATGCACCCCTCTCACGCCTTCGGACCCCAGAGTTGCATCCCCACAGCCACCACCAACTCCCTGCCCCACACCATATGCATCTCTCTCTCTGGACTTGCACCAGGTTACCTGTTACGTGGCATCCAGAAAGAACTGGGCAGATCCAAATAGGATCCAGTACTACCCCAGACCTCTGATGAATCCCAACACCAGGGGTAGCCCTGGATGCTGCTTTGAAGGCCTCTCCGCCTGTCTCCAGTCCTTGCTTCAACGTCAGTCACATAGCACCACATGTGAATTTCATATATCCATGACCCTCTCCCACTTCTGTGCTGCACTTGCTGTCCCCTCAGCAGCCACAACCATGTTCCTTCCACCTACTCTCCTTCAAAGCCCAGCCATCCCGGTACCAGGCATAGTAATTCTCACAGACAACCACATTTGCCCCAGACATTACCCACCAGCAAAACCCCCAGAAACCACCAAAGCTTACCACAAAGTCATAGTAAACCCATCTTATCTCAATTAATCTGATGCCTCCAAATCTGTCTCCGGTCCGCTCTTCCCTCGGAAGTCTTGGTCACCTGCCAAGACCATCCTCCCCACATACTCCCTTCGTGGCCACTTCTCTCCTACATCTGTATTTATGATCCTCCTAACCCCCAACCAGGTACCCAAGCAATAGAGCTAGTCCTCAGAACTCTTAATCTTCTTTCTGACCTGCTGATAACACCACTGCCATGACCTGAATTCCATCTTCTAAGTATCATCACGGCCTGGTACACATGCTAGCCACCGCTTTGGGTGTCTCCATCCTAAGCCCCACCCCAGATTTCCAGACCTGTGTCCAGCTGCCCACTCGATGCCACAGTCGTCTGTTCTCTCAGCTCCTGCCACCCCCCAGTGAAAACCACTACCACGGATTTTCCAGTCTCAGCTGATAGAATTTCCACCCTTCTTGCTGCTCAGACCAACACTCTAGTGTCATCTCTCACTCCTTCCTCTCTCTCTCTCTCACCCTCAAAATCAGCCCTTCTTGAAAAATGCATCCAGAATACCAACCACTTCTCCCACCTCCACAGCTACCACTCTGGTCCATGAACACTCACCTGGACTATTCCAGTACCCTCTTCCCTGGTCACCCATCCTCCTCCCTCACCCCCAAAGTCTGTTTTCCACTCTACAACCCGATGGAGCCTGTCTGGACCTGGGTACGATCATCTCCCTCCTCCGCTCCCAATCTCCCATTACGTCCATTATAGTTGCCCAACTTCTCAGGCAGCCATTTCGGAGACTAACTCCAGTCCCCTGCTCTTTGTTCCTAAGAGAAAGAAGACATGCTGTGCCCTGTTCCCACACTAACAAGCACCTGCACACGCTGGTACCTGTTCCTGGGATAACCTTCTACGCCTCCTTCCATTCCAGAAACAAGAACTCCTGCATACAACCCTCAGCCTGGACTCAGGACGAGTCTAGATCACTTCCTGGCGGTGGGATTTCTCCCAGATCCCCACACCAAAAGGGCTAGCAGAGAGGCAGGTGAAGAGTCCCAGAACACCACAATCCCAAAGTTGATATGGGCAAGATCCAAACCAGCGAGGCCCAGGGACACCCTCCACGAGTGCTACTTCAGCCACGGGGCCCTACAGGCAGAATTAGGCCATAGAGGCCACAGAGGCTGGGGACCACGGTGTATTTCAACCGGCCCGAACCTCCCGTGCATCTTTCCAGCCCTGGAAGCCAGACCTAGGGCTGA